TCCGAAGGTGCACTGAGGTCATCTCGACTGAGAAGGCTAAATAGTTCGTCTGCGCCAAAATGAGACAGGAATTCTTTGCTTTCACAAATTTCCTGATACATCAGGACCATCTTCTTCTCCGCTGCCTCTCGCAGATCTTTCAGACCGTGTCCATCGGCAATTTTCCAAACGCGGCAGTAAGTTTCCACATCGAACCGAAGCTGAACAAACTCGATCAGCATGAAATCACAGCACAGTTTTACAACACTTCTCACTTGAAGATGATCAGCTGCGGCAAGAACTCTAAACACGTTTTCCTCGTTGACGCGAAGATTTCCAGTGTAGATGGAGTCCACTACAATCTTTAAAGAATCAGGTGAAATGCTTTCATCTCTCAGTTCGATCACTTCCTGGTTCGAATCCTTCAATCCATCGGTAAACATAGCGAGGAAATAATCGCTATTTGCCGCGAGTACAATGCGATGAGCTGGAAAGATGTCTTCACGCACTTTCAAACGAACGTCGATGAATTGACCTTCGTCTCGAAACTGAGCACACTTGGATAAAAGAATCTCAGAATGGGCGACCATCTTGCGATGCTTTGCTTTACATTTCTAAGGCGCCCTGAATACAGTAAAATGCTAATTTGATAGATCCTCATATGATCGCACGTCTGGCTTCACCGACGATAAAATCGTCACGCGAGCAAGGTCACGAAAGGTTCGGCTGATCAGGTGTCGCAGTCTCGGGACCTGCGCGATCTCTGGTGTTGTTTTCCTCCAAACATATTCTTACTTGCTCCATCGAGGCAACACGCAAAATGACGATCTTTTTGATAAACTGAATAGAATTTAAGAATATCTCTGGGTTGTTTTATTCCTTTGAATTTCTCGAAATAACGGTTAAAAACTACGTCAGTTTCATTTGTGTACCATGTCAGACTAGGACACAACGTCCTCAGTAGTGTCAAAATTATTCTACACGTTTTTTCCTGAAGTAACAGGAGAGAGGTTACTAATTCGAAATCATTCATTCTTTGGCTTTCTAATAAAGGAGCCAAAAAAACATAAGTGATCAAAGCATTTATTTACCTTTACCTTTATTGAGTTAGTACAGCCAGTGAGGCATCACAGCAACTGTACATTGCTACTGAGTACTTTTTATTGGTACTGAGATTACTAATACAAAGTCGTGAGGTTCTCCGAGGCGAAGATGCATGTTTAGTTTCTTTCTTGTTCCCTATTTGTAAATTCTATTCTTACCAAAACTTTTTCCCCAAAGTTCTTGTTAATACAAAACTTAATAGTAGACTCATTCCTTGGTTCCTTACAATAACCAAAAAAAACATTCCCTTAAAAAAATAAATGATGACATTTACTTGTTTCCCAAGAGCCCCTGGGAACCAACTAAAACAAAAACGAAGCGTTTGCAAGTTTGTCAACCTTTTTATTAACCAGCTCAAATATGTATACATTTATTGAAACCATTCAATATCAAACGGCTTGAAAATAGAATTATTACAAAAGAGTTAAACGTACACTTCTAAAACTTCATATCAAGAGATAGATAGAGGGCCAAGCAAGGGAGAAACATCGTCAATATTATGTCAAAAATAACGGCAAACACTCTGGATATGCATGTATATCATTGTAAACACATTGCTTGCATTTCTGGTGCACCAGTTCTCAATTTAATACGACATTTTGACGTCTCCTGTGATCTATTACTGAACAGACGCACAGCAAGGTGGAATCTATGGGCCGCTTATTTAAATGAAGTCTAAGTTAATCATTGTTTAGGGTTGAGCCACGGTTTAGACGTTGTCTCGATAAACAACGGCTAAACAATTTTTAAAATTCATTATTGAAACGCGACTTAACCGTGTTTTCTCGAAACAATGACTAAACCATGTCTTACGAGGAAATGCATTGTCTGCGGAGTTATTTCGTATGCAAATTTCCAGACAGTGGTTATGGCTCTTAAACATGGCGTCTAAAACAAGCCCCACAACAAATTTCAGCGAACAAGAAAAACTTTTATTGGCCGAATTGGGTAGAGACGTTCCAGAAGTAGAAAGCAAAGACTATGACAGTAAAGCGTTCGTAAAAAGGGCAAAGACATGGGAGGTCATTTTAACTAAATTTAACTCCCAAAATCCTAACGGTATCAAACGTGAGCTCAGTCAGCTT